AGGACTGGCCTAGGGGTATTTTAAAGGGGTTTTAAATTAAATTTTTAGTAGAAGCGGCCAAATTTAAATAGTTATTTTTAATCTTTTTAAATTTTGTATTGTATTGTACCATTGTTTTAAACTGGCTGTAAGCCGCCCTGAGTCCTCCGGGAGAAGGGCGGGGTATAAATTTAATAAAATCAAAATCAAAAATCAAATCCTAATAGTGGGCCATAGCCCACAGGTTTGGGACCTCTGGAATAGAGAATAATGATACTTTCAGCTCTGCCAGATAGGCCAGGGCAAAACACCACAAGAGCTACAGAAACTCAACTGGGTAGGGTATTTTAATAGAACTTTGAAATCCCAAAACTCTACCCCTTTTTATACCAAAAAGAATCAAAACAAAGTAATCTTGAATATTTTTCTTGTCACTTCCTCTGTATATCAGACTGTACTTCTTAATAATCCATTTAAAAGAATTGGTTTTGTGACAAATATTTCAAAACATGAAATGCATTTTTCTCTTTAATAACTGATAATCAGTTCCAAAGTTGTAATAAATTTAATCTAATTTTATAGCAAATAGAAAAAAAGATATTATACTGACTGCACATCGGTTCACTGTAAAATATACAAAAGTTACTACAACTGAAGACTGCTCAGTGATGAAATGATTTCCATTCTCTTTTTAATGAAACTGAAAGAACTGCAAACCAAAATATGAATGTTGTGTTTACTATAATTCATCACACAAAAGCAATTATGAATAATAGAAATGCCTCATTAAGCACTATAAATAAATATTATTCCTTTTAATTGTGACTTGTGAAACTGGATTTTTCTGAATGTTTAAAGAGGAAACAAAGCCATTCTAGTTTGATATGCTCTAACCTGCGATGATTAAGGCTCATTAAAAGATTCTGAAATACCATAGGCTTTACTTTATTTTTGTTTTTCCAACATTGTGGTTAATGCAATGTTTATGAAGGTGACACAACCTCAGAAAACAGACATTCAAAACAGCACAAGATTAAATTTAATGCTGTAGGCATCATAAAGCATTTACATGCCTCACATATTTTCATAACAACATTATTTCTTTTTAACTAAATTGTTGACAATGTTCCATAAGAAATCTGTACAATTCCAAATGTAAATATAATAAAACTTGTAGTACTATTTCTATTTCACCATTTATTTTCACAGCTAAGTATGATTACTAAAACAATAATCAAATGTTTATTGTTAATATTAATCGTAAAACCAATGAACTGCAAAAACACTATTCACAAGCTAAGTTGGTCAATAAGTCCCAAATCTCATAAGAAATAAGTTCTCATCCTCAGTTTGTATAGATCTAATAAATCTCAGGTGGTTTTGACCTTCTTCAGTCAAAAACAAAAGTCTCCTTTTCCTCCTACCCAAATCCTTTTTCAATATGGAGAACTGCCTCTGAGCATTCATCAGAAATCAATGAATGAAAAAGTCTAGTGGATTTTGCCAGCAGTGAAAAGCCTAATCATGATAAGATCACATCAGCTGTCAGGTCTAATTAGCTTAATGCATTGTCCTTTTCATATTAAATGGAGAAGTTTAAGCTAGTTCCATTTTTACACTTGACTGTGGATTTAAATTCAAAACACAAGCAATGCAGAATAGAAACTTTTATCGATTGTACATCTCTGTGGGTTTAAATTTTTAATTGCTTTTACTGGTTTTTTAAAATTTTCTATGCTGTCCAGAGGCGTTGGATAGCTGTAATAAACACATTTATCACTGAAATAAAATAGATACCTTAACCTTTCTAAAATTTCTGCTTTCTAGACAATAAGAATAGAAACAAACCAAATCAAACCAAACAAGTTTTAGCAAATAAATGTAACATCCAGAAGCATATGATTATTTTTATGCTATTTTCTAAACAGACATGGCTATTTGATAGATCATTTGGAGCTGAAATATGCAGCACGGGGTTTTAACTTGTGTTATTGTTTATTTCTGTATGTATTAACATTGTTTTATTTTTGTAATCTTAACTTCTCAGAGTCTTTGAGGATGGGCAGGATATAAGGGTAATATGTTAATAAGCCTACATATATAAAGACACTAGAACTCAGAACCAGCATATCTGATAAAAAGAGTCCATTTGGTGCAGTGATTAAACCACTGAATTAGAAACAGAAAGATCCTGAGTTTTAGTCCCACCTTAGGCAAAAAGCCAACTGAGTGATTTTGGACCAATCACTTTCTCTTAGCCCCAGGAAGGAGGCAATGGCAAATCTTTTCCTAAATCATATATTGCTATAGATTTGCCTAAAGTTTAAAAAACAAATCTAAAGCTATTTATTCAATAGTCATATTTAAAATATTTTAAAAGCACTATTTAAAATTTGTTCTAATAGTCTAAATAGTCTATAGTCTAAATTACTACTATCAGTAAATTGTTGCCAATAACATAGTTTTGGAATATATAACATATATTGAAAACTTTTTATATATAATAGAAATATCAGTGGGTTAAATCCTTATAAATATTCTACATAAAATTGTTTTTTAATATTAAATTCAGGAGAGGAAAAAAGTTAGGCTGTCAACTGCCATAAATTTTATAAAAGAAATCCTTGCTAAATTTGTAAAATATAAAATTGTTTGCCTTGGGGAAAGCTATGTAAAATACTTTAAAATGTGTTTTAGAAATTTTAAAATATACTGTATGTTTAGAACTGTATCAGAAAGCCAAAGTAGGCATAACTTCCCAAGACAGACTAATTAATCCTAATGTTTTTAAAATAATTTCTTATGAAGAAATGTGAGATTCTGGTATTCTCACATTAGACTGTGGAAGATGCCAGAAGTGAAATTACCAAAATTACACAAAATATCGCACTCTTACAAAATGTGGTTGTTATTTTATGTTACTTTATTTTACTTTGTTTATTTCTGTCTTAACTATGAAACTCACTTGAGGATGCCAAAATTCCAGGTTTAAAAATACAAATCAACTTGAAAATACATATACTTTTAATATGCAATTTGCCACATACCCCATTTTCTGTACGTTTCTCCACAGGTATAGAGATTCCATTTCTATGATTTTGAGTCTGACGTCCTGGGAAAAACACAATTATAACATTTAGGTTTCCCATTTAATAGCTATTTTTAGCATTAGTATACATTTAGACAATTTAAATATAATGCCCAACCTTGTGTGTGGATTTGGCCAGCACAATTTCAGGTGCTGAAGAGGACAGTAAAATGTTTTCTATCTTTTTAGGTGTACAGAGGTTTGTTTTTCTACATCTCAATAGAATCTTAGTTCAATAACAACTAAAGAACCACTGGAATTGACATTATCTGAGTTATAATTACTATGTTGTTTTCCACAGTTATGTAGCTACCGTGGTAAAGTGGTAAAGCGTTTATTCACTATACCCTTTCCACAAAAACTATCACCACTGCTGCTGCTAATTTCAATGTTTTTCACACTTATAACTATTGCAGCATCCCCATGATCACATGATTAAAATTTGATATTTTGGCAACTGGCATATATTTATAATGATTGTACTGACATGGTTCACATGATCACCTTTTGTGATCTTCTGACAAACAAAGTCAATGGGGAAGCCAGATTCACTTAACAATTGTGTTACTAACTTAACTATACTGATTCACTTAACAAATGTGGCAAAAAAGGTCATAAAATGGGCCAAAATTGACAATAACTGTCTTGCTTAACAACAGAAAGTTTGGGCTCAATTGTGGTCAAAAGCCGAGGACTATCTGCATACCTATTTGTAAACTACACCAACCGCCATACCATTTTATTCACATAAGAGAATGTCAAAACTCTATTAAGCCTGAGTTTCCACCAGGCACTGTAAAGAATTCACTGCCCAATCTTTTCTATGTATCAACTTGCTTGCCATGATTGCTTTATCTCCATGAAGAGTAACAGTGTGCCTAAGATTATAAAAACAAGCTGCTGACCTAAACAGCCAGACTTTAATTTTGTTCAAATGCAATCTCTGATAATTTTTTAAATTAAAAAAAGTGAGAGCTGGTGTGGTGGCAATGGACCAAGAGATTGGAAAGCTAGTGGAGCCCTGTTGACATTTCCCTGGGTGGCAACCAAGTGAGATTGGGTCAAGGGGTGACACCCCATTATGGAGGCTCCTTAGTGAGCATGAAGTAAAGCTCCGTGGTGCTGTGGATATGCTGCCTTTGTTCTAACTGTGGAACAGACACCAGAGGACGCAGTAGCACAGTAGAATGAGCAGAAATAAATTAACAGATTAGCTAGTTGGGTCTGCTGCCCCAGAGAATATAAACACACGCTCAACTGGATGAGGAAGTGATGGTGGTTATGGGGTTCTGTTCATTAGAGTCCCCGGTGGAGTAGAGGGTTCACATGGCCAGGTGGTTTATGGCAGCGGGAGCAGGAGCAAGGCAGTGGAACCGTGGGAGGACTGCCATGTCTGTTACAACTGCTGCTCAGGTGGCCACATTTCAGTAGATTCCCTTGCCTGTCTAGGAATACCTGGGACTGAAGTTGCTGACACACAAAATTAAGAACATTTGTATGAACCAGGGGCTTTATAAGATTTGGTAGCTAGAGGTGGGGGTTATGCCTAGTTGTCTTGCTACCCTCATATGGGAAACAGGAATGGGTTGGGGGTGCTGCCTTTCAGTCCTTTCTGGAGGATGGCTTCTCTGCTGCTTGGGTAACACAGAGGGGCAGAAGGTAGGGGAGTAAAAGAGGATAGTTTGGTTTAGGATACTGAAGAGTTGTGTGAAGGAAGGCATGGGTGAGATGGTTGGATGGAGGACCTGGTCAGGTGGGTGTAGTGAGTGCCAGAACCTGAACAGAATCTGTTTTGTCTTTGTTTAGGCTGGATGTGGGTGGCTTCCAGTGCCTTATGAATGGGAGCTCGGATCGGGAAGCGAAGCAAGACAGGGAGAGAAGGGAAATAATAGGGGAGGGCATTGCAATCATGATGGCATCGGGAATATGACAGGAGACAGGGGGAAGGGCTCTTTTGGAGAAGGTTGCCCCAGTGTTTAATACCAGTACAGTGTTCTGGTCCCTTATGCTTAGCTCCAAGACCTGGTTTCTAAAGCTTTGGTGGTTTTCAGGTCTCCATCTGTTGTTGCTTAATGCCAGGTTGACCTGCAACAAAGCTCACTTCATCCACAATTTGATTGTGGATGAGAGAACCAACCTGGTTTGTATCATTAATACCTGGATGAGCAATGTAGAGGGGTGTCCCCTCTCTGAAATGTGCCCTCCTGAGTTTCAAGTGTAGCATCAGCTGTGACTCCAGCACAGGTGGCTGTGGTGGTTATTTGTGAGTCTTTGGTGGCCTCTAGTATGCCTTTTTGTTTAATGTATTTATGAAGAAATGTATGAGAAATGGTTGTGATATTGAAGTGTGTCATGTTGTATATAGTCTGTTGTGAACAATGTAGAAAGAAGCAACAATTGCTGTGCCCAATGTTTATGTTAAGCAGACATGAAAGTTGGATATGTCATAAGACACATAAAAGTTAAATGAAATGAAAATAATGGGTACTTAAGAAGCATGTGTGATAAAACAAGAAAATATAAAGTCAGATATGAATAGGTGTTGGATGAATGTGGATTGAACACAAAATGAACCATAAATTTGATAGAAGTTGCAGCTTTTTGTTCTGTAACAATACTGGGAACGGCTGCTTTAGTGATAGTGTTGAAAAGAAGAATGACTAGAAATAAGAAATATTTTAATTTATAGATGAGTTAAGAATAAAAGCTTTAAAAACACAACTGCAAAGAAGATGAAATACAGCAAGGGAACAATTTTTATTTATTTATTTATTAAACTTATTTGCTACTCATCTTATCACAGGTAAGTAAATATACTGGTTTGAAAGAGGGGTCAAAGAGGCCATCTATATCAAAATTGAACAGTCCTCTCTCAACAGAGGGGGAGGGATACGACATCATTTATCTCCAGTCTACAACACAGTCCTTTCAACAGTTCCAAGAAGGCTGCACACCCATTTGCACTACTCAGATGACCCTGATGACACAGATAAACCTCCAGGTGGCCTCAACGAATCTCTAAAAGAATGCAAATGACCAACTGTCTGCAAGGAGTATAAATCCTTACATTCCCCACCATCCAGTCAGAGCTGAAGAAGTTTCTTGGATGAGTAGCGAAATGTCTTCAAAGAAAAACAAGAAAGTCCAGTTGCCTCATGAAAAAGCATCTTTGGGATAAATAATACTTACAGATTAAAATTTAGAGATTGATAAAGGAGAATATTTAATGTTGTTCAGTGCTGAAATGAGGGGTCCCTGGTGCTCTCTGAGCTTAGTTGTTTCCTTGAAGATGCAAGACTGGTTCTTATTTTTCTTTATTTCTGGTATGATGTCCAAATATGTGGAGGTGCAAAGAAAGATTTCCATTCTAAACTGATAAACAGTCTCTACCTTTATACAGAGTACACACTTCTCTTTCAAGTTAAGAGCTCTTCTTGATATATTAAATCAAAAGCTCAAAAAGCACTTACTAATTTTTGAGATTGTTTCTTAGTACTACTGATTTTGTAATTCTTAATTTAAATCCTCAGACTGATGGAATAGGGAAATATACTTCTGTTATGTCCCAAAGGGTACAGTCCTAGTAGATTAGGAGCCGTAGTGGTACAGTTGTTAGAATACAGTACTGCAGGCTAACTCATTGCTCACTCCAGGAGTTTGATTCTGAATGGTTCACGGTTGACTCAACCTTCCATCCTTCCGAGGTCAATAAAATGAGGACCCATGTTGGGAGCAATATGTTGACTCTGTAAACTGCTTAGAGAGGGCTATAAAGCACCATGAAGCGGTATACAAGTCTAAGTGCTATTGCTATTATATGTTTGCTGAAAAGTTTGAACAGTTGACTGAACATTGAATAATTTCTGTGTTCAAGTAAGTTAGATATTTTGAAATGGATCCTAGCTTCTTAACTATTTGACCTTAGATCTTATTAGTTATTTTGGGGGGGTTTTTTCCTTCCACGTAATGTCTAACTATCAGTTATGTTCTTATAAAAGCATACTTAAAACTTGCTCCTTCAGTTATTCTGAAATCTTCAGTCTTAGCATTAGATTTTTAAAGGTAGTATGTGTTATGTATAATTTCCAGAAGAAGAACCCACTCTTTCTTACTAACCTTTGATGTCTAAATTTCCCCTTATCCCCTAAAGCAAAATGAAGGCTTTTATCTGTATATTTAAAAAGTCTTGCTTCTCCATTCCTTTTTCTAACTAAGAAAAAAAAAATCTTAGTTGCTTTTAAGTAAAACATGTTACTGAGACAGAAATTAGCTTGTCTAGGGCCTAAAAGTACTAAAAGTATTGGAAATCCACAAGCTGGCAATTGCAAACAAAATGAAAAGCTTTTAGATAAGCATTCTTAGGACTGTAGACTAAACAAGTTTAAATCAGGATTATATGTAGTCTTTTAGACCTATAATTACACTGTGGGCCAAAGGTATCAGGTGGCAAAATAAGATTCTAAATATAGAATACATAAATGTACAATGTTCAGTCCCAAAAAGAATGGGAGATTTTTACAAACCCACAAGGAAAATGTCATAAAGCAAAGCTAAATATTTTAACCATTATTTTCAAGTACTAGTAAATCCTGATATTGTTTCACAGTGGTAATTACAAGGTAGATTATTTTCATTTAAAGCATTTACTCCAAGTTTTCCACAATTAAAAATTAGGAATTCACTTGTAAGAATTAAAATCAACTTTACAGTTCTAGGAAAATGTACTTGTACTCTCTTGAATTTTCTTATCTTTGCCACTGAATATTATTATAAGTTTAATGTGAGTCCTAGTAATATATAAATTGAATGACTGGAGAAATAACACCAATATTTGATATTTGTTTCATATATTTCATAAACTAAGTCATTCATTATACAATGTGAAAATATAATCTAAGAATTTAAGTAATATTAAATTAAAAGTAATCTAATTGCTGTTTGAGTCAAACAACTGAATAGGTATAAAACATATAATTAATGAATCAATTTCCCCTTAGGTTCAGAAACTGGTCTCATCACCTTCAGCTGCAATAACTAAGAACAAACATTTATTGTAATTTGTCATCAGTATCTCACATCATTATATAGGAATGTTTGCCCAATCCTCACACAGAAGGATAGGAAGCATGGAATATGGAATATATTTTTAAGGATCATTATCTATAGAAATACCTGCAAATAACCTTTACCTACAGAATTAGTTAAAAATCAGCTATGCTGGCACATTTAATTTAAACTGATAAAAGTTGGGGCACATAAAAATTATAACCACGATGCAGCAACAAACATAGAATAAAAAAGTGCATACCCTGTTCACTGCTTTCTATTGGCGATTCTTCATGTCGGAGAAAAAATTTCACTTCCTCTCTACGAGGTCCCCATTTTTGTAGATGGTCATACATCATATGATCAAAGGGTATGTGTCGTTCTGAATACAGAATCAAATGTCATTCATTAGAGCAATTCACTGGCAATTTACTTAAAATAAGAGTAAACAAGTATATAAAATAAGATATATGTTTTATTTTCCTGTCATTTCCCTCCCTCCATCAAAATTATAATATTCTAGGGTTCTAATGGATAACCTAATTCTTTCTTTCTCCCAATTACAGAGTAACCTTTTTGAAAAAGTTTACAAATTGAAATTATATAATCTCTAAAAATAATGACAGCAGTGCTGAACTGGATTGTAGCTTACAGAAGACTGTAGTTTCATGTGATTCATTCCCATGTTTATATTTTTAAAATATTATTATTAGATTTATATCCCACCTTTTCATTCAGGAGTTCAAGGTAGTGTATACAGCACTCTCTCATCCAGTTTTTGCCCAATATAAGCATACTGTGTGATAGGCTGAAGTAAAAGGAAATAACTGGCCCAATCATCCAGTGACCTTCTGAACGCCATAATTATTTTACTCTTTCACAAGCCAATACATTAGAAAATACGTAACAATGAAGGACTAGCGTCTCAGTGTTGGAATCACTCCCAACACTTTTAACAACTACACCACACAGTACTGAATCTCATATTTTGCAACCAAACTATTATAAATAGGACTTTAGTCACTATCACTCTAGAAACAATTACATTCAAACAATTTGCAAGCCACCACATTCCACAGAGCCAAATCAGCCTAACACAAAAGCAAACGAGATATTACACCTCTATTTTGCTATCTGACAAAACAAGTCCTTGATGAAAATATGAAATAGTACTAAGCAATGCAATGATTTAAAGAATGTCATTAAGGTGTAATATCCCCTTGTTTCTTAATTCCTAAATATTTTTGTTCTTTACCAGTTTTTTAGGATCATGCCAGTTTACTATGTTTAACCACTGCTAATTTATGATAATCAAGATAATCATATCATCTTTTTTACCTTTTACCAAGAACAAGCAGGCAGAAACCTCTTCCATTCAGAATATCCCATCAGAATTCTATTAAGAAGTATAGGTTTAAGGCTAAATATGCACATTTAACTCTATTCAGGTTCAAGCTAAAAGCATGCCATCTACACAAGTACAGTAATGGTATTGTGCTAGATTGCTGTGAAAATTTAAAGAGAAGGAAGTAACTAGTAGAATACTGTGGAGTTCCATTTGTCTTTTATGGAACCTAAGATTTACATGAAACAAATGGGAGAAGTTATCTTGAACTCTGGACTGTTGTATTATCTATCTATCTATCTATCTATCTATCTATCTATCTATCTATCTATCTATCTATCTATCTATCTATCTATCTATCTATCTATCTATCTAATCTATCTAATCTATCTATCTATCTAATCCATCCATCCATCCATCCATCCATCCAACACCTCTACCTGTGTTTGCCACATCTTGCTCCCTGGACAACTATAAAACTCTGGAATTAGAAAAAAAGCTCAATCTCTGTGGAAACAGAGGTGGCAGAAATGTACCTGGCTGCTGAAGCCTACTTAGCTATAACAAAACTAGGCTACTGTAATGTGCTTAATTTAAAAAGCTATAGCAACTTCACTGATACATAATATAGCTGTTTTAGTTCTTCTCAAACTAGATAGTCAGATCCTGCTTATTAACTGCATGATTTGCCAATTTTGGAGCTAAATTCAAAGTGCAGTCCTTTAAGGACAAGTTCCCCCAAATTGCATCCAGATTTGTTAAAATTCTACAAAATCCACATGGATGTGTGATTTATAATAACCTCTTCCAACCATACCTGACTAGCTTCTAAGATCAGGCAGGCATCATTAGGACAAATACCTCAAATTGGCTCTACCTAAGGAATGTTATTCGAGTGTAGATAATTGCACCTATATAATGTTTCTTTTAGAGGGCTTTTAAACAGATATCTGTTTTCCCTAGTTCTTAAGTGTTGTAGTGTTTACTGTTCTTAAGCTTTGTGGTATATATTGTAGATTAATTTATTCAGACTTTTTAAACTGCTAACTATGTAATGGATATTTTAAAGCTCTCATTTTCTAAATGGATTTAAATATGTGAATTTTATTTAGTAAATATAATACATACATGAATATATATATTTGACTGATTTATGCCAGTGGTGGCAAACCTATGGTACGGGTGCCAGAGGCGGCACTCAGAGCCCTCTCTGTGGGCACATGCACCGTCGCCTCAGTCCTAGGCCTTCAGCTGGGTTTTATAAAACCATTGCACTTTAGGCCTCTGCCGCCGTGTACACAAAAAAAAGGTTCAATCAATCAGTCAATTTCAACTTCATGCGGGGAAAAAAAAGATCTTGCAAAGTTGGAATTGATTGATTGAACTTTTTAGTCCCACCCATTCTGCCATTACCACCGCAGCCACGCCCACCCAATGGGCCACACCCATCCAATGGGCCACGCCCACCCAGCACCCGACGATGCATAAGTGGGTTTTGGGTTGCAGTTTGGGCACTTGGTCTCTAAAAGGTTCGCCATCACTGATTTATGCTGTAATTCATTATTATAAAGATATAACTGAAAATGAAACATTTTCATAGTTTACTGATCTGCTGATTTTTCATACGACCACGAATTCCCACATAGTCTGGAAAAAAATGTATAGTTTTAGCCTAAACTGGGGATAATGCACAGTCACAAAGTAATGTTTCTTTTAAACTGTTGTTGAAAGTCAGTTGATAAATAATAATGGTTGACATAATGCAGCATAGACAAATTATTGCTTACCATTTCCACGCCACACTTCAGAAAGATGGCAGCTACCTTCACCAGGTTCTTTGCAAAATTCCACCACATCTCGACAGGTTGTTTCAGGAGTAATTGGTACTTCAGTCAAAATTTGTTCATTATTGCTCAGGAACACAGTCAATATCATCTGAAAAACAGGAAACCACTGTACAATATAGATCAAAACTTTTTACATCATGCAGTCTGATCTGTGTAATTTGGTGCACTGTCCTGAGACAATGAGTTTTTAAACTACAGAACAAGGGCCCTTTATAAAATTCAGCAAACATTCACTGAAAAATGAAACAGAATAAAGATATGCCCAAAGATCAACAGAGTTAATAAAAGAAATTACAACTCGCATCTGTTTTCAAATAATAATGTTCTGGTGACATGTTATATTTAGTTACCACAGACTGGAAAGAAATAAAAGAATGTTATGCTCACAGACTGGCAATCAGAATACAAGCCAGCAAAAACAATATATCTGATTTTCAATCAACGCCAATTTAAGCAGTGCATCCCATTTAATCAAGAAGCCGTAATATACAGTAGTTTTTTTATTATAGCTTGTATTGTTAAACTGCAATAAGACCTTAGATAAATGTGGTTGGATCTACAGAATGAGTGGACCAAATCCATTCCCTAGCAGTCATCCAGTAATATTATCACCGCTAATAAAAGAACATTGGTTTCAAAGGGAACTTGGGAGTTATTCCTGAGACTCTGGTGCATGATTTGGCTGCAGCTTTACTTGCAGGCTGGAATAAGCACATGAGGATCTTGGGATAGGATTGCACCTATATAGACACTTTGTGAACATGGATCCCATAGGGCCCCCAGTTTATGGCAGAGCTCCAGGTAATGAAACAACACAAGAAACACTTAGAGCATATCACTTGGTAAGGCCCCACTTGGAATACTACATCCAGTTTTGGTCACCGTGATGTAAAAAAGATGTTGAGACTCTAGAAAGAGTGCAGAGAAGAGCAACAAAGATGATTAGGGGACCGGAGGCTAAAATATATAAGGAACGGCTGCTGGAACTGGGTATGTCTAGTTTAACGAAGAGAACGACGAGGGGGGACATGATAGCAGAGTTCCAATATCTCAGGGGCTGCCCCAAAGAAGAGGGAGTCAAGCTATTCTCCAAGGTGCCTGGAGGCAGGACGAGAAGCAACGGGTGGAAACTAAGCAAGGAGAGAAGCAACCTAGAACTAAGGAGAAACTTCCTGACAATTAGAACAATTAACCAGTGGAACAACCTGCCTCCAGAAGCAGTGAATGCTCCAACACTGGAGGTTTTTAAGAAGAGACTGGACAGCCATTTGTCCGAAATGGTATAGGGTTTCCTGCCTGAGCAGGGGGTTGGACTAGATGACCTCCAAAGTCCCTTCCAACTTTACTATTATTATTATTATTGTTGGAAGAAGAAAGGGATGAAGCCAGTCAAACTAAGCCTTTATTAGAACTTAGCTTGTGGCAGTAAGAGTAGTGAAGTACACTTACTTCTTTGCTCTTATGCAGCTGCAGATGATCAGAGACTTTTACAATGCCCTATTATCAAAAATGTACATTACAACTAAGCTGACAAAATGTAAAATAATACATCCAAAATTTTTAAAAAATATTTTAAGAAGATGACCCTAAACATATTTGTTTACCTATTACAATTGGCAACTTTTTATATAATTTCATCTTCCTAGGAAATGATAAAACAATGCATTTTTAGTCAGAAGAACTGTTTGTGATCAATTATGTGTTAGTTGGAAAAATGTGGATCAATAAAATTGTATTCTGATAAAGCATACAACCTATTTAACGCCAGTCTCTTTTTGTTCAGCAATAGCAGTTTTGCTAAAAGAGAGGAAGAAGTAACTAGAAGTGACTAATTGCAATATATAGACTCAAACTTACAAAATGTAAGCAAAGAGAAATATGAAGTGCAAATAATAAATTAAAAACAATTGCACAAAGCAATGAAAGTGTAAAATGCCCTTAAGGGTATTTTTATAAGAGATATGAAAAGTGGCTTTCACTTTGAAATGTGTCATGAGGCTGCTTTAAAACTTTTAGGCAGACATTTTAAGATTTAATGAGTAAGCTAGAAAATTCAAATTTATTATTTCATTTACAAATTCAGTTAATGCAAGAGTCATTTAACTGTTGTTAGTAAAAATAACCTAAGGCATGACTTTGTAAATTACAACTGTAAGGTCAGACTCTGAAAACTAACCTTCTAAAACTCTCTGACTATACTTTATTCTTTGTAAAGTACCAGGACGCAATCAGTAAAATAATATACAGGTGCCAAGGCTACCAGAGAATTCTCCAGATATGCATTATTTAAATGCAATAAATAAATAAAATAGCCAAAAAATGAATTTTCTACCAAATATTCACATATAGGTATTAAAGCAAAAAAAAAAAAATCTATTTTCTAAGAAAAGCAAAGCAGAATGCATTTAATTATGGAATATTATAAATATGCAAGGAATGTAGAAAAATATGCTACTTTTCAAAAATCTCTGCTACCCTTATCAATATTTGTAATGTAATTTTTAATTTGTAAGCTAGTATCTACAATGTGAGTGTAACAATATTCTGAAAATATTACTTTAAAAAACCTCAAGCACAAAATGTAAACATGCAAGTGAAAACAAATTCATGTACAAACAGTAAATTTCTAAACGTGAAAACATTACTGTCTGTAGTACATAATTGCAAACCGCCCCTAACTATGAATTGTTGTGAGAGCATCACGATAATGAAAAAAGTTGTTTTCATTCTCACCTTTTTTTTCATTATTTTGTTTACTTTTCTGTTTCTCTGATTTATGCTGTTCCTGTTGTGTTGCCAATTTTTGTCTTTTGATAAGTCTAAGAGGCTTTGAAGAATCATTCTTAAAGGGTTCCTCATATGTAAACCACAGAGAAAAAAGGTTTTTTAAAAAACAAAACAAAACAATATACAGTGAAAACTAGAATCTAAAACAGTCCCTGTGCACAGGCTGCAGTGAGAATCTACTTAAATGGGCATCTTCTGGATGCCTAGTAAATGAATACAAGAGATAATGACGTGTGAAGATAAGCCAGGCTAGTGAAGCAAGACAGAGCCTAGTGACAACAGATATTGTGGATTCGGTTTCACCTAATTAGGTAAGTTTAAAAGAAGAATTCACTTAATCAAATGTGTAGTATTAACCACTGCGTCAGTTTAAGAAATGCATGTCTAAATAATGAGAGAATTTAAAGTTGTCATTGAATTAAACAGAAAATAATGAGGTTTTAATACAGTTACATACTGTACATGTAACCTCTGGCTTTATATTCCAATTTTCCATCATTGTATCCCAATAATAAGAAAAAAATGTAACAATGGTAAGAATTTACACAAAGATCAGGGAATCTCAGCTAATGTTAAGTTTAGTTTAGCCCACTTCTCTAACTTACCAAGCTTATTTTGCATCTTATTTTTGTTTTTTATGTATTTGCTATTTCATCCAAATTTTAGCATTTGCAAATGTGATATAAATTCAATTCACCTCATTATCCATATCTTCTTCTATATAAATAAAAATGTAAATGTTCGTTTGTTCAAAATCTTAAATCTCCGAAAGTTCTTCACCGATTGCTTTGAAATTTTGACACAACGTTGCATTTGAATATGCGCGTGTTTTTATATACCTACTATTATATAGATGTCACACCTGTGACAGGTAAAAACATGTTTTTGAAAAACAGTGCCATCTGTTGGACGTAAAAGCAACACATGCTAGCATTGTGAAATTAAACATATTACAAACGTGCGCTTTCTCTTTTCTTTCTTTTCCATTTAACCAGACTGAGCCACAGCAACGCGTGGCCGGGTACAGCTAGTGATTAATAAGGACGCTGAAGAACATAATCCTAGACGCTGGCATCTCACTTGATACTTTTCTTCAGTTAGATGAATAAGCATTGACAAATACTCTTTAAGTATACTTTTTGTTATTTTTATATATACATCTAATTGCTATGCCTTCTAGCCCATATTTATTTAGTTTGCTGGAGTTCTTTCTGTTGCTGTAACCAAGATATATTTCATCTAGAGCATTCCACAATCTACTAAGAAACTATTTGATCCTGTAATCTAAGAAATTTATTTGATCAAAAAGTGAGATTTGGTTACTGTGACAAGACTTGTTTTTGACAAATCCATTCTAACTTCTAAAAATGGCCATACTGACTATTAAGTACTGAAAACAATTGGATTAAGACCCTTTTTAGAAATTTCCAGGTCCTGATGCCAGATTGTTCTTATTTTAGAAATCCTTTCTATTATTTTTTATTTTATAATACAGGAAAAAATATTTATTGTCCAATTTCAGGCTTCAACTGGATGGGGTGCAGTATCATCAGTATGCTGATGATACCCACTAATATAATCTCCACATTTAGGTCAATCAGAATAGAGTTGGAAGGGACCTTGTAGGTCAGGCATGTCAAACTCGTGACGTCACGTGACGTACTGGAGCTTTTTCGTCATTGCTGGCAATGGGGTGGGCGCGGCTCCAGTATGATGAAACCGGCCTGCGGGCCGGCAGTTTGACACCCCTGTTGTAGGTCTTCTAGTTCAACCCACTGCTCAAGCAGGGCACCCTATACCAGGGGTGTCAAACTCGCAACATCATGTGACGTGTCATTACGTATCATGACTTTTTTGCCATTGCCGGCAATGGGATGGGTTTTGTTATGATGCATCCAGCCCGCGGGCCCTGCCCTATACCATTTCAGATAGGTGGCTGTCCAGTCTTTTCTTAAAAACTTCCAGTGATGAAGCACCTACAACTTCTGAAGGCAAGCTGTTCCACTTGTTAATTATTCTCACTGTTAGAAAGTTTCTCCTTAATTCCAGGTTGTTTCTCTCCTTGATTAGTTTCCATCCGTTGTTTATCTTGCCTTCTGGTGCTTTGGAAAATAAGTTGACCCCCTCTTCTTTGTGGCAGCCCCTCAAATATGGAATAATGCTTTCATGTCGCCCCCTAGTCCTTCTTTTCTCTAGACTGGCCATATCCAATTCATTCAACCGTTCTTCATATGTTTTTGTTTCCAGGCCCTTAATCATCTTAGTTGTTCTTCTTTGCACTTTTTCCAAAGTCTCAACATC